TGTGTGTGTCGTACCTTAGTGGTCTGATCGCTCTGGTCTAACCATAGAATAACATTCTCGCTCGCCTCTAACAAAGGAAGTACATCCGGTGACAAGGCGAGATTGCCCACGGACACCGCCACGGCTGGTTGACCTGTTGACAGTAGTGGACAAATACACGCGTGTTTCATCATCAAGTGTGTTATATGTATATATTACAATCAGAGCAAAATGACTTTTTGTAGTGGTAAACATTCTATCGGCGCTGATCTTGGTACTAAAATGAGCAAAACTCATCAAAGACCTGCAGCCCAACGACATGCAGACACTAATGCAAGGACAGGGAAGTGTTTCTGAAGAGATTACAATAGATTGGACCAAATTCTCGGTACAACTGATATGACCGTCCTACCTACCGGACAGTGTTCTGGCCCACCCGGATTACATGTGAACGAATTAACTGACTACCCAGTGAATTTTTTATCAGCAAGCACAATCCAACCCAACCAACCCAACCCGAACACGTACACACAGTGCAATATAGTATTCTCTTACGTCTACCCACATTCGCCTACCTGTAGCCTGGTACACCGCCATGGCGGACCATTCATCCGCCGTGACCACTACCGTCTGGGGATTCAAGTCAAAGGAAGGTGTCGAGTGCACAACCCCATCACCTTCTACATCGCTTTCCGTATCATTTTCTGTATCAAACTCCACCGCAGTCTTTGCGACGCCCCCACTGTCCAGGTCCCCGACCGCAGGGCCCAACCCGTCTTGGTGTTTGCCCTCGAATTTGGACACGTCCAGCCCCAAAAACAAGGCGCGCTCGTAGTCGCGTTGCTCTTTTAGGACCAAATTGAACCCAAACAAGCCTCTGCGTGCCGGGATTGCGGGTACTAGATTGACCTTGTCGCTCACCACCTCCTTCCACTGACAGGCCGTGGCCGTGACGGGGGTGTTTATGCGCTGTAGAATGAGCCTTTCATGGGCCTTGCCTCGCGCGGCAGAGGCGATTGGTGCAGGGATGTGTGTGTGTTTGTGTGTGGCGTCTGCATTCGCACTCATGTCCAGATCGTAGTAGGGAAAGGACAGCCCTATGACGTACTCGTCAGGGCCGATGGCGGAGTTAGGGGATCGAGATTGGACCGGGGATTCGTCTGCAAAGAATAGTTACAATGAAACAGCCGAACACTGCGTGAGGTGACGAATGCACCGGACCACAGACAGGGAAGCTTGCTTTCATGAGGTCGTATACATGAGGACAATGGACTATGTAGCTACATATGAACAAAAGGACTATTAATTATGTAGTTACATAAAAACATGGGGACTATGTATCAAATAGTTGCATATAAACATAAGGACTATGGATTAGGCAGATACATATTGACATGTGCGACATAAAGACAATGGCCTATGTAGCTATATATAGACTGTACAAGAAGTATAAACAACGCAATGCGATAAGCGTACACATCTATAGTCCAGAAACATACCATCCGTGCTATGTACAAAGACAAACACCTGTAGTGCGTACAAAACGCACTCTCAACATACTTCACTATCTAGTACCAATAACTTTGGCTCCAAACGCACCTACCTGCAGGCTTTACCAGAGAGCTGTAGGGAGAGCTTTGATCCTGTGTAGACGCCACCAACAGCTTCACCCCAAACTGTTGCAGCGTGTGCAGTGAGATGGCACTCTCTCGGTCTCTCAGGGCTCTATCGAGCACCATGTACCCTCGAGCTATCTTGGGTTTATTAGGTTTGCTTTTCACCGGAGCGACGAATGGAGGCGGTGGGGGTGTCCCTTTGCCATGAATGGTCTTCGTGGCCTGTTTAGCTGAGCCTGGTGCATTCTTGGCTGCTGGGTTGGGGGTCTCCTGTGGTCGGGATGATATAGTGGCGGTGTACGGTGTAGGTAGGCATAGCGCGGGTGTACTATAACGCAGCAGGGAGGTGTAGTAGACCGGTGGGTGTGCTCAATGCAATGCGAGTCTGAGGAGTGTGTACTTTGTGGTTGCCTATATTAGGACATGGCGTGAGGGGTGGATAAACTGTAGGTAGGTGTATGTCGTAATGCAGATCGTAGGAGTGGGGGAGGGTGGGTTGAGATAAGGCGGTTTGGTAGTGAAGGAACCCTGCAGCATATATCCTTATATCAATTGGTAGACGTGTATTCAGATCCGATACATGCAGCATAGTACCTCGTGTACACAGATCCATTTAATTCATATCACATGCATGCATGATAGTACCTCGTGTACACAGATGTACATAATTCATATCACATGCATGCATGATAGTACCTCGTGTACACAGATGTACATAATTCATATCATATGCATGCAGGATAGTACCTTATGTACACAGATGCACATAATTCATATCACATGCATGCAGCATAGTACCATATGTACACAGATGCAAATTAATTCATATAACATGCATGAAGCGTAGTACCTTGTGTACACAGATGGACATAATTCATATCACATGCATTAAGCATAGTACCTTGTGTACACAGATGCACATAATTCATATCACATGCATGCAGCATAGTGCTTTGTGTACACAGAAAAATAGACATGTACACGAATTAATCAACCTACACGTCAATGCGTACTACCTATTTGTGAAAGACCTTGTGTAGTTATGTACACGCGCGAATAGATGTGAGCTAAAGACTATGATCCAAACATTATGTTTGGCCATGGCCCTTGTGTAGTTTGGCGCCTTTAACAGGGAATGTGTACGTGCATAGACATACCTATAGGTTTACGCATTCGCAGTGTATGTCCGTAGCTATCGCTCCATTAAACCCTGTACAAACCCAAGCAGCTGCACGGTGTAGATAGTTCACCCACGCGCGTACGTACTAGCAACATCTCTGATATTAAAAACGAACAAGCCCCCTTAAAGTACACGCTCGGATGCACACACATAAAAGCCGCTACTACACAACTACAGCACGCACGCACACACACACACACACACCCTCAGTGCATACCGTGGTGACAGGTATCGTGTCAGGCACGTCTCTGTACATAGCTGCCAGCCGTTGCTTGGTCTCCTTCACGTTGACGTCACTGTACTCCACCGCTATATGCTGATCCGCAATAACGGGACGCCTGGTCTTGGGTATAGCCAGTTCCTTGCGGCCCTTAATCTTGTTGCGGTGCTGGCGTGTGCTGAGCTTTTTGATCTGGTGCCAGCTGCCTATATGGTGGCAGCGTTTGCACTCATAGCTGCCGTAGCTCTTGTTTATATACAGAGAATGGGGTGTGTTGGACAGCTCTTGGGAGGTGCAGTAGGGGCATATGTCTACTGTGACTGAGGTGTGACGTTCTAAGTAGTCGATGTGCTTGTCCTTGAGATATGTCGATACAACTGCGGGTCCTAGCCGACCTAGACTCTTCTCCATAGTCGTGTGCATACGCCGTGCGTGTAGCTGTGGCATCCCCCTCGTCATCGCCTTGAGGTGTGCATGTGATCTAAAGTTCGTGTTAAACGGGGCCACATTGTTTCTTACAAAGGTATATATGGACTTTCGTGTACACTCTCGAGTGTGGTGTAAGCTCTGGACGGAATATACAGGGTGTCGTGTGTGATCTCTAACCCTCGACCAAACGCAGCCAACTAACCGACGTCCAGCCGCACCTTTGCCGACAGAATGCACAGTCCACATGTTTGTGTAGATATGGGATGCAGTATGTAAGTATATACAACTATATAGGTAGCATGACTTTTATCTTATATCACTCTTTACTATATATAAAGGGGCATTCAACAATACATAGATG